AGGGAGTGATTATCTACTCAGAAACTTCAAACGGCCAGGCAGATCAAAGACGGAAGGGTCAGAACAAACTTCTGTATTACTACAACACTTGTGAGTTACCAGCCATGGCAGATGGAGCAGAAATAGTCACATAACTATCAGATATTCAGTTTAAAGCTTATCACATGGTGAAATGAAATTAAATAACCTAACAGATGGGGAAACATCTTGAATTGTGAAGATAATAAAGTGTTGGGCTGATGAATCAAGAAAGAAATTGTGGTGTGTTCACAATAGAGTGCTCAAAAAAATCCTACACATCGAAGCATTAGAAAAAGATTTGGATAATATAAAAGATTTTTAAGGTGGAGTACAAACCCCAGATAATGTTGGTATTATAAATAATTCATTGCACCTAAGTTTTCTGCAGTTATCTGTCTAAGTGTTTCCTCATCACCCTGTATCAGAGTTCTTTTCACACACAAAAAATTAAAACGTTTATTCAGCTAAATTAATTTAATAGCCTACTGAAAGTACAACTCTGAAAACTGACTCCAATTCTGGCCTCTGTGTTTGACTGATTTCAATTTCAGATTTGTTCAGTTAGGTGTTCTTCCTCTCTCTCTTCCTCCTTCCCCCCACTCCGAAGCACAAACTGAAATCTGAGAATCAAGCTGGGTTCTTCCTGTGTTATGTATCATCACCCCCAATAAAGGTTCTACAGACAAAATTAGACCCTCCTTGATATTTGTTGCCCCTATTATCTTCAAATTAGGTTGCACAGTTATAATTGTTTAGAAGTTAAACATAAGTGTTTAGTATGGTGTGCCGGAAACCAGAATAACCTGTTAGCTGGTTAGGCAAGGCAAACAGAAATACTCTTCTGTGTGCAAATCATTCTTTCTTAACCACAACCCCCATCTGTTAATACAATACGGGATAGCAGTCTTCCTCAGTGGTAGCAAAGACATGAGTGCTAGCATTAACTTGCTACTGGCATATTAATTGTAGTGCTGGGGCCACAGCTCAGAGTAGATTTACATGAGGTAGTGACTAAAACGTCATCAGCCTCCAGTGACTTTTTTGCAATGATGCTCCTTGGTAGACCTGCACTAATGAAAGATACAGAGGTGAAAAAAGTGCAGTGCAAATGAGATCACAAGGGTTACGTCTACACTGCACAATTATTTCAGAATAAGCTATTCTGAAAGAAATGTTCCAAAATAGCTTATTTCAAAATAGCATGTCTACACTACGGGGAAGCCTGAAAATTAGTTCGAGGAAATTAGTTCGAGGACACACTACCTTGATTTAGAGCCCCAGGAAGCACTGGGGAGTAATTACTTTGAATGGCCTGGGAGAGGAGCTATTTCTAAATAGCAGCTGTGGAGCATCCAGGCTACTGCTATTCCGAAATAGCTATTTCAGAAGAGGTGTTATTCCTTGTGCATTGAGGTTTACAATGCCAAAATAAGCCACCTGTTATTTCAAAATTATTTTGAAATAATGGGCTTCCTGTCTAGATGCTCACATAATTATTTCGGAATACTCTCCATTATTCTGAAATAATGCTGCAGTATAGATGTACCCAAGGAGCATATTGAAGAAGAGAGAGCCATTTTACATAGTCCCTTCTCAGCGTAGGACCATATAGGAGAAATCCATAACAAACAGTGCTGAGTCTTCTTGGAGATGCTTTCTGAAGATCATTGTTCTGTCTAGTATGGCTTCAAGGTGCATAGGTGTCAGATTTGGGGGTGCAATCCAGACCAGTAGGGATTGCTATCACCTACACCTTGAATACCTCACAATGCTTTGCTGTTATAGCTCCCAGTCTAGGCCTCTCATATTAACCATGCAGGACACTCACTAAGTGTCTGTGTGTCGTTATAGCTTTGATCTAGCCACAACAGCCTGTCAGCAACCCACCAGTGACACTGTAGAAGCCTGGATTACTACTTTCAGGATAAACCCCAAACATGCCCAGTCCCAGATTTTCCCCAAAAACATGTGTTCTGTCTTATCCAAACCTCTCCTGGGGTGGTGGTGTTGGTAATTCCTTTCCCCTGTTCAGGGATCAATGTACAACAGTTGATTAACTGGAATTACAAAACAATTGTAACACACCACTGGCTTAATTTTGATTTATACAAAGTTGACTTAACTACAAAGTAAGATCTTCAGTAAATACAAGGTTTTAAACTCAGTAATGGTTATACAAGAGAAATACAAATAAAAGTCTTCCTAGTAGCTGTAACTTAACATTCTAGACCTAGATCAGTGTAAAATATCCTTATACTACATCTTCTCAGCAACAGGACTAACCACATTCTCAGGTCGGAACCAGTGTTCCCCCTAATCATTTCCATCCATATGTGGAATAGATTTTTTGTGTGCACCCAGGCATGTGCTGGCAGAAACAACAACCTAGCTGTGAGGGCTTTGTTAATCAGCTGGGTGGCATTTGAATCTCTCCTGAGCATCCGCACAAGCACACAGATTACACAGAACGCTGGTCAGAACCCCTCCCAAATTCCAAAGGCTGGTTCTTTTGTCACCTTACGTGAAGGGGGGTATGGAGCCTGGGGAGCTTTTGACTTTCACTTTTAAAGTATAGTCACCATTTGATTCATTTTCCTGAGGGTTACCGTGAGATAAAATTCCTTTCTGTTGTGAGGACAGGAGTCTAGTGGTGAAAGAGGTTCCAAGTTTGCTCCAGTGCAGATTGATCTGTTTCTGCCTCCGATCAGATACGGCCACTTATCAGGCAATTGCTGTTCAACTTTGACACCTTTCTTGAAGCAGTAACTTGGTTTTTTTGCTTTTGAAGACTGAGTTTGCACATGCCTCCGACTTGCCTGGCGAACACACTTCTGAACATAAGCCAAAATCATGACTGAACTTTATATATAATGTTGATACATACATTTCACCACAATATTATTGATCAGTAATTCATCAGTTTTAAAATGTCTGACAAAGCATATTTTTGTACAAAGAATATTACAAGTAAGGTGTGCATTCGAGCATAATAGGTGTGTTATATAAATTCAATGGAGTGTCCAGACTAGTTGGCTAAGCCAATCTCATAGGGAAATCAAGATTCTTAACATGATGGTGTATCATATCATAAATGTCTGAAATTAAAGACTTTTGAAAAATATAACTATTCCAGGTTTTTTTCTCATTCAGCACTATTTTCCTATATTCATTAGTTGGCTTTATCTTCTAGCCAAGTATGTTTTCCTCTCTATCTCAAACACCTTCTATTATGCATATTTTATATTGCTTTAGATTTCATCATTTTTGCTAGCAGATTTCTACAGTGGTACAGTGTAGTCCAAGAGGCAGCATGTTATGTAGCACTATGTAATATAAAGACTTATTAAAGCACTTATTAAAGTGTGTACTTAAGTGATCTTAAACACATGCTCATGTGTTTCCCTGATACGTTCTTGAGACTTTGTCTACACTAAAAAGTTACAGTAACTTAGTTACGTTGCCCGGGGTATGAAAAATCCACATGCCTGGAGTAGTGTATGTCAGGCAACCTAACCCTGCTCTAGGTCAGTGGAAGAATTCTTCGGTTGACCTATCTACCATGGTGGGAGGTGGATTAACAGTGGCACTGCTGAGCGTTTCAAGTGTAGACGAGCCCTGAGTTCATGATGGAAGATAGGTTATCTAGCCTTTGTCAGTATCTCACCTTATACAGCTGGCAGAAATGAAATACCAATAGATAGATCTTCAGAGCAGGTTTAATGAAAACAAAACACAATAAAACAACTTTGAAGCTAATGTATCTCTCCTGCCTATTAGTATTTCATTTCTGCCAGCAGATTAAGCTGGAAAGTGTCTGTATGTATTTGTTTCAGGGGGAGAGGGGGAGGAAGTGTTCACTTACATGTCTATAACTTGTTTGAGCTTTTGGCACTTTGTGGTCTGAGTTCCAGAGTGCATTAGCACTCCAGGCGTCTATTTCCCAAGTATTCTGTCTCTTGCTTCCAAAATGCACCATTACAAACTTTACACACATCTATATTTTGAATAAAGATGATGTATAAATGTAACTATAATGTTTGTTTTATAAGCGAGTCAGATGATTTTCATGAACAGGTTGCAAACCTGAATATATGAATGGTACAGAAAGGGATTAATATGAGGATTGAAATCCCTTGAATTGGATTATCTGTATATTACAGGGTATATTTGTTTTCTTTTTCTCTATATTTAGAATAGTCTTTAAAAAAACTACTTAATTTTCAGTGTCAGTGTATATTTTGTGAGGCAAAGACTGAGGAAAGAAATCAGCTTAAACTTTGGCATTTGTGGACATTATCAAATTTATACTACATGTAATATTGATTTGCATAAATTGAATTTAGTCAACGGAAACTTATAAACCAAATTGAATCAGAAATGATTGTTCTGATGTATGGTAGCTTGAAGATTTTGCTTACTGAAAACTTAGAAGAACTAACTCAGTTTTATATGGAAGTGTGATTTTAAAACTACTTACAGTTCAGTGTGGTAAATGAAAGATTCAATCTTCATTTAAGAGTTTTTAAAAAATAATTAATAGACTCCTAAATGGAATGTACATATACATTAAACATATAGCAGGAGGAATACATTAAACATATAGCAGGAGGAAAACTTACAACTACTGTAGTAAACTTACCATCCTTGTTTGTCTGCATAAGTCTCTTTTCAGTTTCTGGAACTGCAGTAATACATAATTTCTTTGCATCTGTTTCTAAATCTTGCAATAATGTTATTTAAATGGCGTTTCAGTAAAGGTTGGAGGAAGAGTGGCATTGCAGCAGGTTGTTAAATAATGCTGTCTTTGAGCTGCAAAGTGAGTGTCTTAATCAAGATAACTGGGGTGATGATGAGCACTTCTAGCAGATGGCTAATTGCAAGCACCTTCCAAATATCAAATGCCTTAATCAAGCAATGAAATCTGTAATCTTAATGGTTCAGGTAAGCACTAATAATGTGCTGTCTTTTTTGTATTTAAGTGCAACGAGAGACAGAATTCGCCAGTGACATCTCCGGGATCTTCTCCACTTGCGCAGAGAAGAAAGCCACTTCCAGACCCCCTACAAATTCCCCATCTTAGTCTCCCACCGGTGCCTCCTCGTCTGGATCTCATTCAGAAGGGAGTAGCACGGTCACCTTGTGCCAGCCCTACTAGCTCACCAAAGGTAAATCTGATTTTACCATGTTTCTGTCTAGCTGAATGGTGAGAGATAATACTGGTTAGTTTCAGGGTGCATTTTTCAAAAGATTGGCCAGTGCATTCTTTTAAAAATTTACTACATCAAAAATATCCCCTAGGCTTCCTATGAAGTCCCGATGTACAGGCAGTCCCCGAGTTACGCGGATCCGACTTATGTCGGATCCGTAGTTACGAACGGGGATTTCTCGCCCCGGAGAACTAGAGCAGCGGGATGCCTGGTCCCGCCGCCCGCCTTCTCCGGGGCAAGAAAAGCTGCTCCCCGTCTCCCTGGTCTGCTGGCGGAGCCAGCAGACCAGGGAGACGGGAGCAAAGCGGCGGAGCACCGGCGGCCGGACCCGCGGCCGCTTCCAGATCAGCTGGAAGCGGCGCGAGTCCTGCCGGGTGCTCCGCCACTTTGTTCCGCATCTCCCTGGTCTGCAGAAGCATCTCCCCGCTCTG